AGCTTCCACACTGTGTTGGCAGGGTAAGTGCCAGGAAACCCCGGTGGGCGTTCCATGTGAACATCCTCCTTGAGCTGGCCTTGGAGAAAGGCGGAGGAGGCGTCCATGGACTTGATCTCGAAGTTGCCGCGAGCGGCTATATCAAGAAGAGCGCGCACAGTCGGGAGCTTGGCCGTGGGCGAGAAGGTTTCGAAGAAGTCGAGATACTCCTTCTGGGTGAAACCCTTCGCCACGTATCGTGCCTTGAACAGTGGAGCTTCGCCTAGGAGTTGTTTTACTCGGAAGATCCATTTTCCGCCAACGATGTTGACACCAAAGGGGGAACAACATCGTCAAAGCTGTTGTTGCGAATGAACGCCTCGTTCTCCACATCCATTGCTGCCTTCAACTCCTTCTTATGAGGCCCCGAGAGAGCTTCCTCTTTTGTGCGAGGAGTCGGAATGGTCGGGTTCTCGGTGAAGTTGAGGGAAGGGCAGTCAGCAATGTCCGGGAAGATGTGAGAGAGATATTGGCAGACCGCGTGAAGGTCAAACAGCTCCTCATGCCTGTCCTCCAAAAGTGCACGGGGGGGAATACGGATGGAGGGGACATCACCCCCGGCAGGAGGAGGCGGGGTGACCGAACACCGGATGGAGAAGGCGGCTGGTCCCCAGGCGAGAGGCGGAGCCGGTCCCTTGGAACGAGTGCGACTAGAGACCGGAGACGAAGGTGGTTGCGGTGGGACCGGAGGGACTGGGCGCCTCCGATAGGAGACTGGTGAGCCGGGCTCGACGCACGGGGAAGGCGGAGCAGAAGGAGGTGCCGCTGCGGAGGATACTGGGGAGGCCGGGTGAGACACGCCGGACGGAGAAGGCCCCGTAGAAGGGGCAGCGGCCGGAGGTGGGGCATCGAAGTCTGCCCAAACAAGCGTCGGGGGAGGTGGAGGAGGCTCGCCCATGGTCGCAGAGTGGAATGGGCGTGTCTCATCGAAGACGACATCACGGCTGCGAATTAGCTGTCTGGTGATTGGGTTGAGGAATAAGTAGTCTGGGGAGTCGGAGTTGTGCCCCAGGTACATGCAGGTCTGGGTTTTGGGACCAAGCTTGCCACCTTGCTTCCTGCCCGTATGGGGGCTTAGCAACACATACGCGGTACACCCCCAGACGCGTAGAGAGCGGGCGGAAGGCGATAACCCAAGCCAGAGAGCGGTAGGTGTGGTGTCGGGCCGGTGGGGATGCGGATAAAGATTGTAGAGGAGTGCCGCATCGAAGAGGGCATATCCCTAGAGTGACCGTGGTGCGTTGGCGTGACTGAGGAGGCAGCGAGCGATCTGAACCAAGGTGTGGTTGCGGCTCTCTGCAATGCCGTTCTGCTGCAGGCTTTCGCGGAGCGTGAAGGTTTGCCGAATCCCTAAGGCCGCACAGAAGTTATCGAGTTTGCCATTGCGAAATTCTCCCCCGCCATCAGAATAGAGGCACTTCAGAAGAGTGCCGAACGTGACTTGGTGCAGTCTAGGCAGGTGGGTGCAAGTGAGTCTGTTGGTGGAGGAAGCGCCGACGGGAGGCCAAGAAGAAGTTTCTTGGAAGCGATGCCAGCAAGTGTACGGAAGTTGGGGTGACCCAAGCGATGTTGGTAGAGGATGGTTGGGTTGGCAAAGCTGCGACACGAACACGGAGTGGTGTTGGCAGCTTGCGCTTGGGAGAGGACGGCGAGAGGTGCAGGTGAACGCAGCGTGTAGAGCTTGCTGCTGTTGAGTGTGAAGCGTGCTAGGAGCTTGTTGGACTTAGGGTCAAGGAGGTCACATTGATCCGAGTGTGCTGGGAAGATCGTGGTGACGCCTGCGCGTTGGAGCTCGTGTTGCGCCACGAGATTCTGGCGTAGTGTGGGAACACACATGCCGGTGACACTGCCCGAAGGAAAGGCTGGGCACGGAACTGTGGAGGAGCCCTTGGCGTGTGTTGTGAAACTGTAGTCTGCTCCTAGTAGACGGATTGGTGTCTCGTATGGCTTGAAGGAGTGTTGTTCCTTGAGAACCGTGTGAGTGGCCCCACTGTCGAGGGTGAACTCTATTGTGGCTGAGGTGCTTTGTGAGCCGGGACACTGCAAAATTGTCTCATTAATCATGGCAGTGCCAGGGAACAACATGTTGAGGCGCACATCAGGAGAGGGAGCTACAGCACCCTGCATGGATTCCAGCGCTTCGACTTGATTGACCTTGCGAGGAGCACGATTGAGCATCCAGCTTGGTGGCTTCGAGGCGGTCCCATTGACGGCATACCACTCGTCATCCTTCTCCTTGATGCAGGAGGCAAGGGCGTGGTTGGTGCCGCCACAGACCTGGCCGGCACGAGGGCCGTGCTTGATGACATAGGAACACGAGGGGAAGCGGTTGTGCTGGAATGGTGCTGAAACGGCATAGGCCTGAGGCACAGGAGCGCAGATTGCATTGGCCTTGGCTTGAGCGATGTTGTCCTTTTCGGCAGAAAGGAGCGCGGATGAGACCTTGGCAAATGTGAGGTCTGCAGGAGCAAGGCCCTAGAGCACCTTGCATCGTATGCCGGAGTGAGGCCGACTAGGAGAGCGGCTGTAGGGGCTTGCTCAAGGAAGACTTTCCGCCATGCCTGGCAAATCCTCGAGCCGCACTTGGAAGATGCTGGGGATGAGTATAGCAACTCCCAATGCAGTCTTGTTCAGGAAGCGATCTTTGAGGTAGAGCCAAATGGCGTTGGCAAATGGGTAGTTGTGGTAGGTTTCGACGAGTTCGGGAGGAGTGGTGCCCATGAAGACACTAATGAACGCGCCATCGGCCTTCTCCCAATTCGTGTACTTGAGCAGTGCAGCAGGATAAACTACTTCGGCGGTGGCATTAGCTGGATGGACGGACCTCTCGGGTTTAGGAGGCTCTTTGCCGTCACCGATGTTGAGAAGGACGTCAGTGAGCTCAAGCCTCTTCATCTTGCGACTGAGGAGGTCTTTGTCGACACCATAGCGCCAAGCCTTGTAGTTGGAGCATGTGCCGTCCGGCTCGAGACGAAGGAGCGGGATCGGGTTGGCGAGTGAAGTGGTTGAGTAAGCCAACCACAATTGTGGTCCTTGTGTTTGGGGGCTCCAACCACAATTGGGTTGGATTGACACCCCAACACAGGTGTACACCCAACTAGGGATATAAACACAATATACACAACTAGCATAGCATGGTATATTCTAACACAACCCCATAGCATGCAAAGCTAGTGTATATGTAGGGTACAACCCCAGAATCAGGAAGGGGGGCGGGGCCCAAGGCCGAGAAGGCGGAGGAGGGCAGAGTGCGCGATCTTCGGGAGGGCCTTGGTGAAGATGTCGGCCAAGTTGGCCTCTGCAGCGATCTTACGGACCACCAAGTGACCTTGCTGGACCAACTCTCGAACGAAGAAGTAGCGGAGTTCAATGTGCTTGGAGCGGCCATGGAAGACAGGGTCCTTTGTGAGATGGATGGTGCTGGCGTTGTCGCACCAGAGGGTGGGACAATGCTGAGGAGCACCGATCTTAGCAAGGAGGAAGGTGAGCCAGCGAGCCTCCTGAGCGGCCATGGTGCAAGCATAGAGCTCAGCCTCGCAGGATGAGAGGGCGATGGAGGAGGAGCGAGTGGAGCGCCAGCTGATGAGGCCGCTGCCAAGGGTGAAGCCGTAGCCTTGAGAGGAACGGCGATCCGGCTGGGAGTCAGCCCAGGAGGAGTCACTGAAGCCAGAGAGGAGGGGAGGAGAAGAGCCTCCGAGGGTGAGGACATAGTCCTTGGTACCACGGAGGTAGCGGAGGACCCGCTTCGCTGCAGCCCAGTGCTCATCAGTGTGGCGACAGTACCTACGAATCGAGCAAGAACACTGATGGGGTAGGCAAGGTCGGGGCGGGTGCACATTATAGCGTACATCAGCGAGCCGACGAGCTCAGCGTGAGGATGGTCAGAGGAGGAGGGAGCAGGAGGAGAGGCAAGCTGGTGGTCGGTCTGCAGGGGAGTGGTAACCGGCTTGGCCTGCGCCATGTCGAACCGCTGCAAGACTTGGTCGATGTAGAAGGACTGAGAGAGGGTAATGGTGCGCGATGTGCGGTCCCGGGTGATGGTCATGCCCAGATAGTGCTTGAGCTCACCCAGGTCCTTGCACTTGAGGCGCGCATGCAGGGCGTCCTTCACTTGCTGCATGGCGGCAGCATCGTCAGCGAACAGGATCATGTCGTCGACATACACCAGGATGAAGAAGCGGGTGGGAGAGGAGCGAAGGAAAAGGCTGGCATCAGACTGAGAGGCATGGAACCCCAAGGACTGCAGAGTGGCATTGTGCCACTCGCGAGGAGCCTGCTTGAGGCCATAAACCGGGCAGCGCAGCTCCCAGACTGTGTTGGCAGGGAAGGCTGCATGAAAGCCTGGAGGCCGCCGCAAGAGGACCCGCTCTTGGAGCTCGCCTTGCAGGAAGGCGTTGGAGACATCCATGGAGCCAATCTCCATGCCAATGCGAACAGCATAGTCGAGGATGGCACGGAGAGTTGGGAGCTTGGCAGTGGGAGAGAATGTCTCCCAGTAGTCGATGCCATGGGTTTGGGTGAAGCCCTTGGCACAATACCGGGCCTTGTAGACTGGCTCCTCACCCGGCAGCTGCTTCACCCGGAACACCCACAGGCCTTCAACAATGACGTCGTCAGGAGAGGGGACAATGTTAACGAAGGGACGCCGTCAGGCTTTAACAATGTTACCAATGCTGTAATGGTAATCCCACAATTGTGGGGGCACCTCGATATGGTAACATAATTGGTGTGCTGTAATGGTAATCCCGTTACACAGGGATATTATCGCCAATCAGCGGCGAGTTACCGCTCGCGAAGTCCGGCTTGCGAATAACTCGCGACTCGGTTTTTCGCGTGGTCGGTTCGTGACAATTCTGCCAATCCGCGTCGGCCGTGCCACGCCCAGCCCAGGTACGCGGTGTAGATGGGGACTCGTCTGGCACGTGGTCAGTTGGCGGGGGCTTCAAGATGAGGCTGCGCGTGGGTGTTGGGGGGGCAGGTGTGGTGTGGAAATTTTGGGACCCCTCTTTTTTGGAACGGCGACCCGCTGCGATGGATGTGACTCAGCCCGACGCGCGATCTGATTCAACATCCACGACTGCCTGCGGGTGCGCAGAACCTGGTGCGATGTGTGCGACGGCTGCGACGGAGTACGAGGCGCTGCGACTGGCCAAGGTCCGCAAGACGCAGCGCATCCTGGCGGACCTTCAGTTGGGGCACGCGGCGGCGGCGCTGCGGCGAGAGGTGAAGCGAGCGACGGACGCGCTGCACGAGCACACGCCGGCCAAACGACACAAGGCGCCAGCGGTGACGTCAGCTGTACCGAGTAACCCACGTCGGCGGTCCAGCAGGTAAAGGCGGCGCTGCTGAGGGCGTGGCGACAAGGGAAGGAAAGGGCGGGCTGGCAGGCGGTGGGTGCAGCACAATGAAGGAGCGTTGGAGAGGCGGCACGGCCTCTGGTGCCCGCTGCTGGCTCTGCTTCGCTGCCCCCTGTGCACCTCGCTCCCATGCCCCGCTGCTGCTTCCCCACTCTTGCCCACTACCTCCCCATCTGCCTTCCCCTCACGCCCGGCCGTCGGTGCCACCATGCTGCGTGTGTCTCGTCTCACCTGCTTGCGTCCGCTGTCTTGCCCCCCTTGCGTCCTGCCTCTCCCCTGCGTGCCGCCTGCCTGCCTCTTGCCGCCAGGGCCGTGGGCCGCGTGGACTACTGCGAGAGCAGCAGGCGCGTGCTGCCTCCCAAGAGCGCCGCCACGCCTGCTGCTCCCGCTGCTGCCGCACGCGATGGTGCTGCCAGTGGTGGGGAGGCTCACAATGGCGCGACGGCGCACGGCGCCAGTGCAGGTGGGCATGGCACGGGCAGGGGTGGCGCGGCTGGGCGCGGCGCTGCAGGCAGGGGGACGGGCGGTGGGGCTGAGGAGGGCAGCGGTGCGCTGGTGTGGGCTCCCAGGTCCTTCTTCCCCGGTGGGGGGAGTGCGGTGCAGCAGCGGTGGGGAGAGAGGGAGAGAAGAGAGGAGGACGGAAGGGGAGAGGAGGGCGAGGCGAGGGGGCGAATGCAGCAGCGCAAGTGCAAGGGGCACGGTGGGGGAGGGGCAGAGGGAGGAATGGAAGGTGGGGGGGGGCGGCAGGCGGGGACAGAGCGGAGGGGAGGGGTGGTGTGGGTGACGAGGCCGTTCCTGTGCGGCTCGGCAGAGAAGCCGGCAGTGCAGGCATGGCGGCAGGCGGTGGTGCCGGGGCACGCGGTGGACGTCTGGGTGAGGGCGGGGGAGGCGAGGGAGGGGGAGGTGAAGCAAGGTGAGGCGGGCAGAGGAGGAGGAGGAGGTGGTGGTGGTGGTGGTGGTGGTGGTGGTGGTGGTGGTGGTGGTGGTGGTGGTGGTGGTGGTGGTGGTGGTGGTGGCGGCGGCGGCGGTTTGAGCGAGGGGGAGAGACGAAGGCAGCAGTTGGAGTGGAGAGAGCAGTGTGGGAGAGGGGCGGAGAGTGGGGGAGCGGTGGAGAAAAATGGGGTAGAAGGAGAGGATGGCAGAGAGGGGAGGGTGGGCGGCAATGGGCTGGTGTGGATTCCAAGGTCGTTCTTTGGCGGCGGGCTGGGTGCGCCGCAGCAGAGGCAGGAGGGTGTGGGGTCGGGGGCGGGGGTGGTGGAGGTGGCGGTGCGCGAGGGCGAGGTGGGAGCGAGGGGAGGAGGCACCGACCTGCACAGGCAGGTGCGAGTGGTGCGGCATGGGCATGGGCATGGGCATGGGCATGGCTGCAGGGATGCGGAAGGTAGAGGCGAGGCCAGCAGCGGTGCTAGCAGGGGCGCCGGCAGCAAGGAGGGTGCGAGCAGCAGGGAGGGCACGGGGCGACGGTACAGTGCCGACAGGGGTCAGGGTGGGGTAGGCAGGGAGGCGGGAAGGGAGCACAGGGAGGCCGGTGGTGTGGTGGCATGGGTTCCACGGCCCTTCCTGTGCGGTGGGGCACGTAGGGCACGGCACAGGCGCGTGGTGCGAGGGGCGCAGGGCGCAGCGGGGGAGACGGGGGGGAAGGAGGGTGGGGGGGATGGGGCTGAAGGGAGGAGATGCCAGCAAGCGGAGTGGGGAGAGCAGCACGTGAAAAAGGGGGAGCAGCGTGCAAGAGGGGGGGGCAGAGTGCAATAGGGGCAGGGAGGGCGGCGGAGGAAGGCAGTCGTGGGCTGCAGTGGGTGGCGAGGGCGTTCCTCTCTGGTGGGGGAACTGCCGTGCAGCAGAGGAGGGGGGAGGCACAAGGGGGGCAGGCACAAGGGGGGCAGGCACAAGGGAGGGAGGCGCACGGGAGGGAGGCGCAAGGAAGGGAGGCGCAAGGGGGGGAAGGCGAGGTGGGGCAGGGGGGAGAAGAAGAGCTGTGCAATGGTGATGGCGATGGTGATTGTGCTGACGTCATGCCCGCATATCGTGAAGCCGTGCATGAGCGGTGTGCAGAGGACGGCGCGAGGAAGGTTTGCGGGCAGAGGGACAAGTGGGGGCAGCTGAGGGACAAGTGGGGGCGGCTGAGGGACAAGTGGGGGTGGCAGAGGGAGGGGTGCGATGAGCATGGCTTTTGTATGAGAGACAGCAGCAGCTGGCACTACTGCCACCAGTGCAGGTGAGCTGGCAGCAGTGCAGGTGAGTTGGCAGCAGTGCAAGTGAGTTGGCAGCAGTGCAGGTGAGTTGGCAGCAGTGCTGGTGAGTCTTCTGTTAGAAAATGAAAGCTGAGTTCACGAGAGAAATGGCCAACTCTAAAGGGGCAAGTAGCAGCATGTGCGTGGTGCGCCACAATGGTCAGGTGTTGACAAGGATATGAAACTCAGAAGCAGACAGTGAAACTGCATGACAATAGCATATTTGGAAACTGCAAACGCACGCAAGTCAAGACAGTGCTCACCACCTCTCCCTTCGGCTCCTACTGACAGCATGACCGCCTATCTCCATGCTTCGTCCTCCGCTTCACTCCCGTTACATGCTGCCATTTAATGCCCCCCCTCACATGCCCCCCTCGCATGTCCCCTTCACATGCCCCCTCACATGCCCCCCTCATATGCCCCGCTCACATGTCCCCCTCACATGTCCCCCTCACATGGCCAACTCACATGTCCCCCTCACATCCCCCCCTCACATGCCCCCCTCGATTGCCCCATTCACATGCCCCCTTCACATGCCCCCCTCACGTGCCCCTCTCACATGCCCCTCTCACCTGCCCCCTCACATGCCCCCTCGCATGCCCCCTCACGTGCCTGTGTGCGCCCATCAGAGCCATGACGGCAGCACGCACCACGCGCTGCGCGTTGTGCCGAGCGGGGAAGAACCAGACATGCGCTCACTGCCTCCTCACCAGGTGGGCTTGATGGCAGCAGAAGGCATTGGAGACGAGGCAATGCCAAAGGCACCCTCCTAGGGAGCAAGGATCTACTGCCTCCCTGTTTTCTTCGTCCATTCTCCTAGGCATTGTGCTGCTTTGCTTTGCTATTTCTCCGGACCACTCTCGTTACCACACCCATTTGCTATATCTAGTTCACACACTGACCTGCCACTTCACCACAGAATGCCTCACATTGCAATATGCCCCCCGGATTGCCTCATCTTGCTTTGTATGGTCACAGATTGTCCCATATCGCCTCATACTGCCCTATATTGCCCCATACTGCCCTATATTGCCTCACACTGCCCTATATTGCCACATACTGCCCCATATCGCCTCATACTGCCCTACATTGCCACATACTGCCCCATATCGCCTCATACTGCCCTACATTGCCACATACTGCCCTAAATTGCCACATACTGCCCCATATCGCCTCATACTGCCCTATATTGCCACATACTGCCCCATATCGCCTCATACTGCCCTACATTGCCACATACTGCCTCATATTGTCTCACGTTGCCATGCCTGGCCTGCATGCCACCAGGTACGGGGAGAGCATTGCTGAGGCGCTAGCTGATGCCACGTGGCAGTGCCTGGTGTGCCGCGGCCTGTGCGACTGCACCTTCTGCAGGGCAAATGAGGGGTGGCAAGCACCACGCGCCATGTGTAGAGTGGTGTGAAACTCGTCTGAGGAGAGAATATCAGAAAATTGAATGATTGTTGTTGGAAATATCTCAAGGACTTAAGCGTTTCTGAAGTGTAACACTGTACTCGAGGAAGATTACAGGGGAGCACGCGAGTCAACGGAGGTTACACGAGGGGGCGGACAAAGAATGCGAAAGGACTCGAAAGGTCGCAACTGGAGGTTGCGACTGACCGTTACAACATCACGGATGGTAACCGAAGCGGCAATCGAGTCGCTGTGCGACTCGATAAACCGTTCCTGTAACTGTATTCTACAACTGCTTTCTTATCTTCTATATATTGCTGTATGCTTGTTTCTTTAATCAATCACTTGTTCTCACATACTAGTACAAGGGTTCAACTGCCTCAACTTCCGCTGCACTACTCCAAGTCTCAAACAGCTGGGACTTAGTCTCTGCAAAAGATCCTAAGGGCTTTTCTCAGCCCAACATGGTATGAGAGCTGGTCAGAGATCAAAACTCCCAGCAACTACACTCCATCAACAACCAGCAACTCAACTTGATTCAACAACTCCATTGATTACAAGACATGGACAACAAGGGCAAGAAAGTCTCTACGGGCTCACCCAGCGCCCAAGAAACTCAACACGGCAACTCTGGTCTGCACACCTCAGGACTGCAGACAGAGACCGGGACTACTCAAGAAACAACGGGAAGAGTACCAGAGATGGTGACTCCGTCTCCCTCTTCAAGTGTGGACCCGAATCTCATGGAGAGATTCTTCAGCTTCATGTCACACTTCGACCAGCAGCAGCAGACAAGGACACCTGCGCACTCAACACAGAGCAATGGAGGGAATATGGGATTAGCGCCGATGAGCCTCGACAACTCATCCTTCGGGCGACACAACCAAGCGCCTACCTTTGCGCCTTATCATTCTTCGCCGGGGACGTTCGAATTCATGCCGCCCCGTGCCCAGCCAACAGCAGCTGCTTCACAACAAACACCGAATGAAATCTTAAGTTTACAGGCGCAGTTCTCACACGTGATCAAACTTCAGACATCCTCACCGTTCAACGGACACGACTTCTTTACCTGGAGCTTCGAGTTTGAGCTGCTGATGGAGGCCGCGCATCTTCTGGGATACTTCAACGGGTCCCTGCCATTCCCAAGCAACGGCACTGGGAAGGAACAAGAGATCTTCACGTATCAGTCGCTGCTGGCGTACACGGTACTCCTGAGAAACCTGTCACCACAAGAGCAGCAGAGCATCAGAACGTATCGGAGTTATGGAAACTCCGCGGAGCTCGCATGGCACCACCTCAAATGCCTTTACCAAGCAAACGACAGCGTGACACAAAGCAGACTCATGCAACAGCTGACAACAATACAGATGAAGACCGGGGAAAAGGCGATGCAGTATATGAGTCGCTGCCAGACCCTCCGCGACCGCCTGCTTCGGTGCGGAGGAACGATCACTGAAGAAAGCTTCGTGACACTTGTCCTCGCCGGGCTCGGGCCAGAATGGAGAACCACACGATCACTTCTTCGAGCCCACGGAAGAATTTCGGAGATGCACCTCTGCGCCGAGCTTCACGCTGAACAACAGGAGATGGATCTGTTCGAGGAAAGACAACCAAGGAAGCAACAGCAGTTAGTCTTCTACACTCAAAGAAGAAATGACAACAACTACAACCGACGCAGCAAGCAAGATCAACGCGACAACCGAGGACTCACCATCGTGCCGCCGTTCTGCCACAACTGTCAGACTTCCGGGCACTCCAAGGTCAACTGCAACCGCCCTCGCGTTTACCGTGCAGCAGACCCACAAGTCGCTTCCACTCAAGCAAGTCCTCCAAGGCGCTCTTCAACATCTGCACAACAAACACCCAACATCATCAACTGCATGGTACACATCGACAACTGCGCACCCGCTTCACCACCCACTTACGCACCAGACGAAGAGGAATTCCCGCCGCCGCGCTCGCAAGGACTTCAGGTCAACCCGACATACGCTGCAGTCGCTAACGCCGAACCCACCGGGCGGAACACCTGGTTCTTGGACAGTTGCTGCGGTCAGCACATGTGCTCCTCCGGACGCTTCGTACAACACGAGCGACGCCTCAACCGCGACGTCGTCATCACCGTCGCCAACAACGAAAACCTGAAAACAAACAGGCAAGGCGTGGTTCAGTTACAATCAATGGAGACAAACGTTATTCTTCAGCTCAACAAAGTCCTCATCGTCGACAATCTGGGATACAACCTACTAAGCGTAAGCCAACTAATGGCTAAGGGGATTCACCTGGAGTGCGACTCCTTCTCCAACGAGTTCCGACTTTACCACGGGAAGGGCGGTCTCTTCATCGGTCGTGCCCTCCTGAAGTCCGGTGTCTTCGTGTTGGACTTCGTCCCCGACCGCGGAACTGCCGACAGCGATGGCATCGTATCGTTCGCCGCCTGGACTCACCCACCAGATCTTGATCCCGACTTCGACAGTGACGGCTTCTGGCACTCCAACACCATACCTGCAGCAGAGAGAACACGGGCATTAGCAGTTATCAGACAAGAAAGACAAGTACCAGCAAGCGTCCCAACAAAACCATCACCTGCAGTATCGGCAGCAGGACCCAGCCGAGTACCACCACCATCAACACGAGGACCGCCAACGGAAGCAGACCAACTTATGCCCGCCACACGAGAAGCTTGTCGAAGTCCCGCCTCGGTCGTCGCGTTCTTCTCCAACGCCGACATCTACCACCGCTCGCCCGGTCACCGCGCTCCCGACGACATCTGGCACCAACGTCTCGGACACCCTGCAAACAGCACGATACTACAAACAATACAAGCAGAGGTGTTAGAACGTAACGCCCTTCTAACGACGAGCGGCCAAGAACTTCGCCGACCAAGAGCACGATGCTTCACGTGCCCCGAAGCAGATCTTCCTCATCAACCTTTCCCAGCCCATCACAATCCAAGCGCACCCACTTACGCTCCGATGGAAAAGGTCTACAGCGATATTCTAAACATGCCTCGAGACGACACCGAAGCCGATTTCAACTACGTCATCACGTTCATCGACGCCGCAACCAGATACGTCTGGCACTTCAATCTCAAAACGCGCGATCAAGCCTTCGAGGCCTTCACCACATGGCTTCCAATCGCCGAACGAGAGTCAGGAACCAAACTCAAGAGTTTCCAGTCAGACGGTGCACTGGAATACCAGTCACAACGCTTCAGGACCTATCTCGCGGAAAGGGGAATCCGACGCCTGGTGTCTCTGCCCTATGCTCACCAGCAGCAGGGGGTAGCAGAACGCATGAACCGGACCTTGCAGACGACGATGCGAAAACTGCTTCTGGGGATGAGGCTGCCCAATACACTGTGGCCAGACGCGATGACACATGCAGTCCACCTGCACAACCTGTTGTCCTCGTCATCGCTCCCCAACAACGCATCACCGCACCTGCTGTGGACGGGAAAAAGGGGCAGCACAAAATTACTTCGAGTTTTCGGCTGCATGGTACAATACAGACCCCACACAGCTCGAGCAGGACGCTTCACTCAACGAGCTCGGTGGGGACTACACCTCGGCATCGCCAAACATTTTCACGCGTGGAAGATTCTCGACATACACGACAAAAATACGGTGGCATCACGTGATGTTATCTTCTACGAGCGACTGACGCTGCAGCATTACCTGGACAACATTGCCAACTCAGACGACCCCACCGACGGCTTCGCGGGCCTTCGCTCCTTCGCTGACCATGCTGCCGAGGCTGACGCAGCAGAAGAAGACGTCCCTGGAGCCTCGGAGGCTGCCGGACCACTCCCCTACTGCTCCGTACCTGTTCCACTCGATGAAGATAATCCCCTCGATAGCAACAACCTCGACACCTTTTACCACTTCGCTGACCAAGGCTACGCTACACCACACCCCGTCGACTCGAATATTTCCGAACGCATCGGGCCAAACTTCTTACCCGATCCTGAAGACGGTGATGAAGCAGCTTATCCCGAGAATGAAAACTCCCCTCGACACACAGCCACGGGACTGCAGATCCTAGGACTATGGGTCTCCGTCCAGCACCCGCCGCCGCCTTCTCCGCGCGAGCCGTCGACCCTGTCGCAGGCTCTGGGGGGGGAACATAAGGCACAATGGAAGGAAGCGATGGAAAAAGAGTTAAAAGCTCTGCAAGACCGAGAAACATGGAAACTGGTACCTGCAACGAGCATCAACGGGAAGAACATTCTCTCGGGGAAATGGGTGTACCGCATCAAGACCAACTCAGACGGCTCCATCGAACGATTCAAAGCTCGATGGGTCGTACGAGGCTTCGATCAACGATACGGAACCGACTACACAGAAACCTTCGCTCCAGTCTCCCGTCACACCTCTCTGCGCATCCTACTCGCCATCGCGGCCACGAAGAAACTACCACTACGGCAAATCGACGTTGCAAACGCCTTCTTGTACGCACCTGTGGACGCCGAAATCTCCGTCGAACAACCCCACGGATTCATCGACGACCCTTCAAAAGTATGCCAGCTGGAAAAATCCCTTTACGGGATCAAGCAAGCCCCACGGCTCTGGCAGCAGCACCTTCACGGCCGGCTCGTAAAAATCGGATTCCTACAGCTACCACATGACCAAGGCATGTACCGACTACAGAAGGGAAGAGATTACATTCTGCTCATCGTCTACGTCGACGACCTGCTCTACATCGGTTCTACCACCGACATCGTCACCTGGTTCGAAGGGGAGCTGAAAAGGGACCTGACGCTCACGGTGTCCGACGAAGTTACCCAGTACCTAGGACTGAACATCGTCGAAGACGACACGGCGTTCTACCTACACGCTGGAAAGTACTCAAGCACCGTCGCGAAGAAATTCGGTCTAGCACCGACTGCGGTCCCAACTCCCTACCGCTATGGGAACAACAGTAGCGCCTCCACAAAACTCCCCGCGAAACAAATCCAGGAGTATCAACAGAAGCTCGGCTGCCTACTATTCGCAGCAGTAACCTGCCGACCCGACCTATCCTATAGTGCGAGTCAGCTGGCGACACATCTGAAGCAGCCGCAACAGGAAGATCTCGAAGAACTCAATCGAGCGCTACTCTACTTCGTCTCCACGCCGACGATCGGGCTCACCTACAGCAAGGCAACAACACCGTCCGTACAACTACTCGGATACGTCGACGCCGACCACGCGGGAGACAGCGAAAATCGACGGTCTAGGACGGGCTAC